CAAAAACCAACAAAAAACCAACAAAAAACCCAACAAAAAAACCCCAAACAAACAAACAAAAAGAACAAAAAACCCACCAAAACCAAAAACAAACAAACAAACAAACAAACAAAAAACCCAAAGAGAAAGAGGCAAATACCTTATGTCTGAGCATCTTGCAGCATCATCAGTCTACCAAACCATTAGGCCCCAGTGAGTACAGTTAAGTTAATCCATGTCTTTTAAAAACTAGACATGGTCAATTGGGATCTACTTAATGTCTCATATGACTCTACCAATTCAGGTTTGGAATAATTCTGTTGTAAATTGAAATTTATTTTCTTGCTTTTTTAAAAAAATTTTTAAAGTAGTACATGAAAATGTGCAGCATTTAATCTCCCATATGTGCATACCAGGATACTATCCAACAACTGTAATCATGCCATGGGAAATTGTAAAACCTCTGAGCTACCTTTCTGTAATTTAAAGATACTAAGACAGTCTCCATATGGTGAATTATTTGACCAAGATTTTTGGTGAGAAAAAATTTCAGAACACTGTTTTGCTAAATCTTGTTAAGAGAACCAATTTTCAGATAAAACAGTTATTTATAATAAAAGGATTCTTATGCTTAATATTTTTAAAAAGTGAGTTCTGGCATTAATACATCTTATTGACATAATTTGATTTATCTTCCAGATAATGGTTTTATTTATAATAAGAAAGTGTGTGTACTCAACTTCAACACAGAAATTGTTAAAAAATATATTTTCACAGAATACAGGAATGTGTAAGGTTAGAAGGGACCACAGTGGATCATCTGGTCCAACTTCTTTGCTCAAGCAGGGTCATCCTAGAGTACATGGCACAGGATTGCATCCAGATGGTTTCTTAATATCTCCAGTGAGGGTGACTGCAACCTCTTTGAGCATCTTTTTCTACTGCTCATTCATTTTCACAGTAAACAAGTTTTTCCTCTTATTTTACTTCTGCTTTCTTTATAGCTGTTAGGGAAAAAATTATATGTAAAACCATTTAATAAAAAGGATGATGGAATAAAATAGAATTGTCATTGGGCATTCTTGTCAGCCTGCAAGACACAAAATTTTTAAGTCTATGAAATCAGATTCCTACCTGAATCTGCTCTCTGTAAAAGGTTTTCTAGGAAGTATTTTTCCATTCTGAGACAAACCATTCAGTCCTTCAGCTTAATTGTACTTGCTGTGTTGCAACTGAAATGTAGACATTTATTTATAGAAGGGGGCACACAGACATGGAAATTACTTCTCTGTTCTACACAACTTTTCAGAGCAAATGATAATTTGGGAACATAAGCAATAATTTTCTGCATAATCATTTTGAGCTAATGCCCAATAATATTATAAGTACAATTAAGTAAATGACCTTGAACATTTTTGTAGTAGCTCTGTCTGGTGGCTGTCACAGGAGGCTGTGAATCAAGATACTGATTCTGTTTCCAACTGTGCCATTGGAAAGATGATTTGTTTGTTCAAGTTTGTTCAAGCATACATAGTAATATTCTTCAGTTTTTTCCTTGATTCAGTAGTTTGTCATGGATAATAATGAATGGGAATATTTTTTCTGTTGTTCTTAGAATCATAGAACCATAGAATGTGCTGAGTTGGAAGGAACTTGTCAGGATCATTGAGTTCAATTTTTGGCCCTAGGTAAGACATCCCAAGACGTACAACATTTTCCTGAGAGCATTGTCCAAGTGCTTCCTGAACTCAGACAAACTGGTGTTGTAACCATTTCTTTGGGGAGCCTGTTCCAGTGCTCAACTGCCCTCTGGGTGAAAAACCTTTTTCTGATATCCAGTCTGAACTTACCCTGTCTCAGCTTTATGCCATTTCCTTAACCATTTCCTTAAATCCTGTCACAGGTTACCAAAGAGATGAGTGCCTATCCTTCCACTTCCCCTTGTGACGATGTTGAAGACCAAAATGAGGTCTCCCCTCAGTTTCCTCTTCTCTAGACTGAACAAACCAAGTGACCTCAGCCCCTCTTCATAAGTGGCTCCAGACCCTTCCCCTTTTTTCTGTTACTCCTTTGGATGTTGTTTAATAACTCAATGTCTCTTTTATATTGTAGCACCTGAAATTGTGCACAGGGTGAAGCTGCCCCAGCACAGAGCAGAGCGGGACAATCCTCTCCCTTGCCCAGCTGGTGATGCTGTGCCTGATGCATCCCAGGATAGAACTGGCTCCTTGCCAGTGCTGATTCATGTTCAACTTGCCATCGACCAGGACCCCCAGGTCCCTTTCCAAGGCACTGTTCTCCAGCCTCTCATTCCCCAGTCAATAATCACAACTAGCATTCCTGATGCAGAATCTGGCACTTGCCCTTCTTAAGTTTCATATGGCTGCTGATTGCCCATCTCTCGAATTTGCAGAGTCTCTCTGCAGGAACTCTCTGCCCTTGAGGGAGTGGCTCTTCCGAGTCTGGTGTTCTTGCCAAACTTACTATTCCTTTGAGTCCTGCATCCA